ACTGGTACAATACGGAAGCAAAACAACACCGAACACACATCTATCCCTCAACATTATCGTCCGGACCCGACAAATTGAATGGGAGTCATGTATATCAATATCAGTATCACCGGGTGTCTCACTTCCACGGAGTCGGTAACAATTTGGAAGATGTCCGGTGCAAATAGAACACTATTCAATGCCTTGGCTGTGGTAAAAAGTGTGATCATTCGGCCCTGTCGCACTCTTGATGTACTGTCAAACGAAGCGACCTGTTTGCTGTTCCATGCCTGCATTGTCCCAACTTGGATGCAGCAAAATCAACCTTAGCATAAATCCTGCATCCCAGATCTGTTATACTCCCTCTCTCCCTCCCACNCCCTCCCACCCACCACATTTGACCCGGGAAATAAATGCTTCAATTACCCGACGCGTCTTAGTAAAACTATCGGCAGTATTGTGAGCTTATGCATGCCTTTGTATCAACCGGATACAACTTACTATAGACAATTTCTCAAGCGGAATCAAAAACTAAGTTAGCTTCGGGGAGATTCTCATAATAATATAAAAAACATAACGAGCAAGCTTGTTTTCGTAACTTCGTCTTCCGGTAGTTACAGTTAAAGTGCTTATATATAAGGTAGAAATAAATAAGATTGGTCCATTGATGGGAAAGAACCGTAATGTCTGTCAAGCTCTACAGGGGCACATGGAAAATAGTAGGGGAACTAAGGTAAATTGTGGAAAGTTCCAATGGTCTTTTACGCGTGCAACGAGTCACGCCATGTTGCGTCATCACTACGTGGTTGAGGTCATGGTTTGATTCGTCACTTAGGTCGAGACAGGACCAATGCAATCATTTTCTTGTTTGCATAGAGCCGGGTTTCAATTGTTTCTGCCGTTGCCGAACGTACTTCGACATGTTGATGACTTTAAATGTTTCATTGTCTATCTGGTCCCCGGCATCGTCGACATGGCCCATAATCGCTCAGGTTATTGTCTATCTTACATCTTGTGCTTAGCCAGGCCAGGTTATATTATCTCATCTTTTGTGAAATCTGTCCCATCGTTCGGCCTACATGATTTGCCGAACATGTTCAAGGAATACATAATCAGGGAAGAGGAGAGGATGGACAGCTTATCATTGATGTTTGTGCAGAGCTGTGGTCAGCTTGTTAGTCGCACTTGGAATAGGGGCTAGATACGTCCGTGTGGTTGCTTTTTCCAAAGGTCCTCTCAGTAGATCACCATCCTAGTCTCCAGTCTCGTTTGAACGGGATCCATAAGAAAGGTTCTTTATTTTTAGCCGTGATTGCTTTTGATAGTGCAGGCTTTTCCATGGTGTTATTGTCGACGAAGCGCCCCGGGTAAATTAACCCACGTCTGTAACGGTCCCGAGAAGTACATGATTCCTAAATGTTAAGTTGAACTGATCATCCTTCAGATTTCTTCCCCTTGCATAATCGTAGTAATCAAAGTAGGTACGGAATATGGATCACGAATCACGGTCGCAACTGAAGCACAGGATCGCGCTAGCAATCGTAGGCTGGAATCTCTCGTCACCCAGACAGAGGAAAAAGATCACAGAAGTAGCGTTTCTTTTATTGAGAAATCAATGGGATCAAATGTGTAGATAGAAATATCAATGATCAAAGGATCAAACTATTGCTTTGCTTTTTCATCGAGTCACACGGTTTGTTTGAACTGTATGGCTGCTGAGTGATCGATAAAGTTGACCTTTGACTCGATGTTTAGAAACAGGAACGCGTAGGCGTCATCTCGAGGGTTGACTCACCACAATACTCCTTTGTTCATCCGGCCGACCATGCGCTCAGGAAGCACTAGACTAGATTTTCACTCTGGTTAGTGCTCGTCCGAGATGCATATTCAAAGATCCGTTAGAGGTTCTAACTCGGAGCCCCTCACATGAAAGGCGCATGTGGTAGTTCTGGTTTACAGGTCAGTTTTAAAATGCGTTTGGAACCAACAATGGAAAAGATGAAAAGATATTATTACCCGCTGGACTGTTCGTAAATTTCCTTGATGAGCTAGACCTCGATCGAAGATGCGAGTTCCACCTTGAGATTACAATTAGGGAAAAAGCCACCGGTCACACTCTATATACAGACGCGTCAGGAGATGTCAAATTAGTCAATTATCAGTAAACAGAACAACTCCGAGGCCGATTGAGCTTTGAGATATCCACAAAACAACCATCCAATGTATTCTGTATTAGGATAGAAGATCTCGGCCTGAAAGATCAGTCAAAATTGGAGCGCCCTCTAGCGGGGGAGGAGGTAGATGAATCTACCACAATCCGATGGCATCACCACTATTCATTCACGGTCAGAGAAATTACTTGCAGTTCTCCTTCGGGTTTATCACATTAACTCGATGGGGCGCCTGGTCACACGTATCTGTTAATAAACAGCAGTAGCCGATTCACCAAGGTGTTTCGTACACATGTCGATGGTTCTGAAATTGTATCCACAAGTGAAACCACACAAAATGAACAGACTTGGTGAAAATGATCGCAGTTTATCTCGACCGCTCAAGGACAGCCCGGTGATCAGTAGAGACGGGCGAAGCAATATGAAAAAAACATTAAACCCACCTGTGGACCCAACGTCTCCTTTGAAACGCACAGCGTGTGAGGAGTGAGCTGCCCCAAAGAACCAGAGAGACATTCCATTTCAGGTGGTACATCAAATCCACTAGTGGTAGACCCGTGAATGGAGGGGATGAAGGGGACATTGAAGTCACCCAACGACCCAGTCGCGCGCTGCTTTGAAATGAGCCAACATTGCTGCTCCCGCTTGAGCAGTTCTCTCTGAGCTCGACGGCGACGCGACTTTAGGGACCAAGCGATCAGCGCCACAAGGACACAGATTAAAAGGACGATGATAATTGATGCCACGGCCACAAGGATATCCTGCTGCAATCCCAAGTAAACGGCGTACGGAGCTACGAGGGAATACAAAAAAGAATTGGATGGCTAAAGACAAATCGCGGACTGATAACTAAGTTGAAAACGAGAACAGCAAATGTCCCCCAGTTTCACTGTGCAGTTAGTATCCGGGTCAATCTCGCAGCATCTCACCGGCTGCCGAACCTTCAACTAAATGTGAACACAGCTTGCAGTTGCGTGAGCTTGTGAAACTTCACATCCTATAACACCCGGCAGGATACGAAAATGAAAACACGATTTGGAAATACCACCCGTGGCACGTCCGGGCACTTTTGCGCCAGGCGTGCCGTGGGACAACCGAGCTGAACTCCTCACCCACTCGGGCACGATGTGAGTGAGGGTCGGACAGTCACAAATGACCACCAACAACGGAAACGAAAAAAATAAACAGCGGGTGGGAGAGCCCCACGCCCACGATGACGGAAATTTGGGGCTCGGAGCAATTACGAAACAGGCGCAGGCATGGAGTGATGGCGAACAACCACCAGCCTGCACCTCGGGCGCTAGTGGACTTTCAGCTCGATGCCGCGGGGGCTATGATCCGTCACAGCCCTCTAAGTCGCTCGAACTCATCAAACATCACGTGCGTCAGAACGGAAACCAGCGCGGACCCATACTCGGTCACAACGCCCGTCAAACCCGCTACGGCAGCCGAGTGGCGCCGAAAATTCACCCGCATCCCATCCATTAAGGTAGACCACGCCCGGGAGAAGCAAAACCGCAAGTAAATTTTATGTATATTGTCGAATATATACGAAATAAAAATACATCCGAACATGGAGTGCTCAGCTCATGAAATATAAGACAGGTGGTAGTGAAAGGGACTATGTACATGACTGATCTGAATAAACTGATAGGGAGGGGGGAATTACTTCTTCACAACCGCCTTCTTGGGAGTCTTCTTCGCAATCGGTTTCTTGGGTTTGACAGACTGAAAACGAAGAACGAGCGGATTAGACAAGTGCCCAGAGCGCCACAACACACGACTTCACCAAATGAGGTCACGGGTACTCACCTTAGGCTTCTTTGGAGTCTTGGCTTTCTTTGGAGTCTTCGGTTTCACTGATTTAGGCTTCTTAGCACCAGCAGCCTTCGGCGTGACGGTCCTCACCTTCTTCACTGTCTTCTTCGGTGTCTTCGGCTTCTTTACCGCCTTCGGATGAGCAGCTTTTGCTTTCATCGCCTTCTCGGCCAGCTTGAACGAACCGGATGCACCAATACCCTTCGTGTGCACCAGTTTGCCCGATTTCACGGCCGCAACCAACGCCCGGCGGATGTGGTTCTCGGCTTTCTCATCTACCTTGTAGTGAGCCTTGATGAATTTCGTGATAGCCTGACGGCTCGAGCCGTTGCGTTCCTTCAATTCCTTTACAGCATGCTTGATCATATCACCGTAGGGTGGATGGTTTGCAGGAGCTTTTTTCGCCTTTGCAACTTTCTTCACAACCGGATGAGCGGCAATAGCAGACATGACTGTATTAGCGTTCAGCGTAGGATAGTTTGATATGCTAGCAAGCAAGCGAGTGCGTGCGTGCGTGCGTGCGTACGAGTGCGTTGGTGTGCGTGGCACGAGAACAGAACAGCGACAGACAGAGAGCGAATCGCCTCGCTCTCTGACCTACGCGTTTATATAGCTCCATTTCCGAACCGCAACACAACTAAATACGCGTGCTACGCGTACGGCACTTCTACCACACGGGCCGGCGCAGTCAGATCGAGGTTAACCAAAAGAAACGTGATATTCTGCTCAACACGAGCTATGATCATACACATATTATATATTTTTCGAAAGCCCGCATTCCGGGCTATCACATGAAAGTATTCTCACACGAATGTGCTAAATGTGTGCGACGAAAATACGAAATGAATGGAAAATTTTTGTGATTCGCATTCTTCTTCTCCTGTGGAAACTCGAATAAATCCTCACTGTAGCCAAATAATGCCGTGATTTTGCGATACGTATTTTCTTATGTTTCCTTGCTACATATTTCTGCAATAAAAAGCAAAATTAGCTCGATTTGAAAAAGAAAAAAATGAGTCTGAATTCGGTCACCCGTTTCGAAACCCAAACCATTATAACCGTCCTCGTTGACTTTCTCCTTATTTTTTTCTTGTCATTTTTTCTCCAATATGTTTGAATTTTGGTGAGGATGTTTCTGACCATTATACAATTATGTATGCCAACTTTGGTGGCCATCACTTGAGTATTTTAGAAACTACTCACGTTTACATGTTTGTTTGCTGTGTGTCGCTCGTGGTAGTTCACCTCAGTGGTCGTTGTTGGCTTGGTGATATTCTGGTGCTGAAAATCAGTGTTTTGTTCGATTTTTCTGCTTGAAAAGTTGTCCACCGAATAATTCTGATCTCTGTCTATCAATTGGTGTTAGTTTCTTCGTGATGGGTTGAGAGATGCCTGAATTATTAGAAGAAATATGTATCTGTCACCCTATTGGTTGCNAAACCATTATAACCGTCCTCGTTGACTTTCTCCTTATTTTTTTCTTGTCATTTTTTCTCCAATATGTTTGAATTTTGGTGAGGATGTTTCTGACCATTATACAATTATGTATGCCAACTTTGGTGGCCATCACTTGAGTATTTTAGAAACTACTCACGTTTACATGTTTGTTTGCTGTGTGTCGCTCGTGGTAGTTCACCTCAGTGGTCGTTGTTGGCTTGGTGATATTCTGGTGCTGAAAATCAGTGTTTTGTTCGATTTTTCTGCTTGAAAAGTTGTCCACCGAATAATTCTGATCTCTGTCTATCAATTGGTGTTAGTTTCTTCGTGATGGGTTGAGAGATGCCTGAATTATTAGAAGAAATATGTATCTGTCACCCTATTGGTTGCTAGTAGTTGTCGAACTTGAACGCAACAACGCACGAAAACCCGGGAGCAGAAGAGCGTACAGCTTTCGTAAGATATTATCAGAAAAACTTCACGATATGAAACGAAGCTTATTTCTTACACATCTAAATGTTGTGCTACAATAATCATAATAGGCATAGCTAAACATCTTCAAATTGCACTCCCCCAGGTTTCTGTGTGGTCGTTGAGATTGATGTATTGAATAAAGGAGTACTTTTCATAGTTTTATTTGTGATTTCTGTTAGTTTTGTTTGGTATAACAATCACATGAATCTAAGTATTTCGTCGCAATTTGTTCAATATACGGTCGCGAGTGCGATACATCTTTTCGACCGATGCGAATTAAACCCAGGTTTATACTAAGTATCACAACATCGGTGACATTGAGATTTCCCTTTTTCAAAATATTATTTCACAACAAACTCAACGAAACCACTTACAATGTTGAAGTCTCCCTGGTGTTTATATTGCTTTTAGTTTGAAATTTCTCCAAACTTATTCAACTGAATGATTAAACTGATATATAGCTTTCTGTTCTAAACTGCCTGACTCCTTATATACATATAACATGTTTCATTGTCAAAAGTGTACTGATAATGGCGTTAACCCTTGCATGCGATGTTCTGTTTAATCGATCGGGTGATCCAGAGGGAATCGATTGAACGGAAAACTGTTTTAGGGAGCCGTTAGTTAGAGTTTATTTCAACGTTTAGACATTTCATTTCTTTACCATGGAATATTGTCCTCCTACAAAAATTCAGGAATTTACTACCCCAGTTTTCAATTACCAACTGAATATTTCATTCATACCCAAGATAGTCTGTTTTCATTGCGAGGCAGACAGTCAACTGAGAAGCAACATAGTTTTCCAGAACTCATCGCTCTCTTTTAAATCAGGTTCTATCTGTAGCATCATGAAGAGATGTGATAGGAATGAGTTACCGCCATAAGATACAAATTTTCATCGCACATCACCCCAAATTGTATTTTGGGAGAAAACGTTCTTTGTATTCAAGAAAATGACGTGGGTCTAACCGGTTTCGGTAGAAAAAATTGTTACCACCACTAATAACGAAATCGTGGATTGTGATCAACAATGTGATACACAATATCGAACGAACGGAATTCAATTTATGTTAATCCAATGAAAAAATAACAAAGGCTTCCTGATCTAATTTCTTATGGTAAATGGTAAATTGGCTGCCAGCTTGATTGGATTTATTTAGGTAAAACAGACCTTTTCGGAGTGAATTATTGAATTCGTGATATTTTTTCTCAAATAATAATCCGTCTTAGTTAAATCTAATATCAGTCACTCATTACTTGACGTTTGAAAACTGCGGAGCAGTGTGCACTTCATACCCATCAATCAATCCGTTTGACTCGTTTGGGCTTTGCAGTCTGCCCGTTAGTCACGTGATGTATGAATGATGGAAAGTGAGAAAATTTTCGCATGATTGTTTATTAGGATAATTACCTGCGATTTTTGAGCAGAATATATCGAATAATCAAGTGAATAATCGCGGTTCGAATGGGCCAATATACCCNGGATATTGCATCAGGGGGCAAGCTGACAATCAAGGAAGTTTTTCGGTGCTTTATTAATTAGCCAAATACGGATTAAACTGGGAGTAGGTAAAGGAATGAGGGAAGGGTGAGCAAGGTTGAAATGCGAGATCGCACAGTAATCAATACCCTTTGAGATTGATGGATTTTGGGCATTCTTGTTACGTAATAAGGTTAGCGAAAATGATCATGATAATTTGAGAGCTCTGACGAGATGATTTTTTGAGCACACAAACCGGGATAGCAGGCGACCTGTGACCTCGTTCGACTACCACCCATATGTAGTATAATTAGGTTCGAGCGGATTCGATCAGATTAACGCAGGTATTTGTTTTGGCTTTCTGTGCAGCAATCGCTGTTTCTCCGTTTCAAACCCGTCCGTTACCAAGCCACTTGAGGTGAAGATTTCGGATGCAAAACACCATATATAAATATATTTTTTAGACGCCTGCGATTTGTTACAGTGCATTTCGACCGCCCCCTCTCATAATTTGTTCCTCATCCTCTTATCCGTTTTCATTTTACCGGCATAATTCGAAACATCAAAAACAAAGGTCACCCATCAGAGATCAATAGTGTCCTCTCGTCGGCACCACTTGGGCTAAAATCGAGATAACACACGGCCGATTTTCTCAAACTTTTAGTAGCATGCGCCATCTATTTTCTCCTTTGAGTTTATGTTATCAGGCAAAGTAGGAATAGATAAAATATTTACCACATTTTTGTTTCAGAGATTATCAATAAACCAACTTCATGCGGATTGGATTGCCATTCCGTACCTATGGTTCAAATTTTATCGACTGGTATGTACTAAACACATTCTGTCAGCTAGCTTAACATCACAGCCGTTCCGTCATGATGATGATGATGATGATCACGTGAGTGACATCGTGCAGACCTGTTTGCAACCCCGTCCGATCTGGAAACACCCAATGTATATGCCGAAGTTGTAAAAAGCTATTTCAGACTGATGTAGTATTATTTTTAAAACACTGTTGTGTTGCCGAATTCACTAAAAAAACAGCAAAAGCAGTAACAGGTAAAATCAGGACCCAAGCTGATATGATGAAACTGAGTATATTGCAGAATCGCATATACTCTCGAGCTGAGCAAAACAGCGAGTAAATGGATTTGAATGAGTCGTAAAAATTGCACTCGTTGGTGTTTTTCGTGTGATGAATGGTAAATAAATATCGTGTTCGGATTCGTAATGAAGCTAACTCAAAACAGGTGCACAAAAATCGGTTAGTGAAACAAACACACTTGCCTTCAAAACCGACTTCTAAACAACCCTATTATTTTCCAAATTAAGTCTCAAATATATCTCAGACACATTTATTGACAACAGTGAATTTTGAAACCAGAAAACGGTTAGTTTGATCTTGTTGTAAATCGTCAGCAGTGAGAATCTGCTGACTGAATTTAGGATCGATTCTGACACCTCATGGACACTATGTGATTGTGTTGTTCACTGGAAAATTAATCTTATTGTTTATCTTTTTTTTATGCATACTACAAATCGTACTGCAAATAATGAGTAACTCTTGATCTTATCCCCTAGGATTTATATGAATTTGAAAATTTGATCGACAAAAACCCTCCGATTCTGTATCTGTCAATCATGTTTTGTGTGTTAAATTCATACTGTGAACGAAAAATTTTGCCAAATAACCTCAAATTAACCGTTTGGTTTCTATATGATCTATCTGAAACCTTCTTCCATAGTCAGTGTAAAGTATCTTTACATGCGATGGAAATGTTCGTGATAACCTGCATAGAGCACTGGACAGCTGTTTCGTTCCGTTTGGTAGTCGTCAGCTGTGCGTACCTTTTGTGTCCCTGTCAAGACTCGAACCGCGAACTTTCGTGTCGGGACTTCAAACCCTTACACCTCTGAGCTTAAAAAAGATGTCTTTGCTTAAATGCAAGCCTAAATGTTTTTCTTGCCATTCACATTTAAGCACATTTTCGGCGGATATTTTGCTGGTCGGCTTTGTTGAAACAACTTGCAAATCGATAAATGAATTGTTTAAGACAAT